CTCCTTAAACAATGACTGGCCTTCTGCCTGCCCTGTCTTAAGCAGGACATTGTAGATTATTGACTTAACCATCAATGTCACGAATAAAGCTTCCTCCTATCACACTTTAGACGCCCTTGACCTTGACGTCTACCAATTGCAAAGCAGCGGCCTCAGGATGGAAATTTTAACTGAGCGAATTGCAGAATGGCATTACCGACAAAGGCAAGGGAGACTGGAATGCCCATTTCTGGCTTATTAGCCGTCGTCAGCCAGCCATACCCAACCCGATGTGTGGAACACCCGAGGTTCAAACTCGCGACCTGTTGGTTTAGAAGTCCACACCTCTAACCACAGGGCCAGGAGCCCGTTGCACTGTCGGTTTTCGATCGGGAACATACAATGGTGGGGGGCGCTCACCGATCGTTCTTACCTAACTCACCCGTTCCGTTGCGCCTTACAGACTCTCTCTCGAGCCCAACCAGCAGCCGCACAGCGGCGCATGATATGGGCGGAATCTTATTACCAACAAAGGGGTTGGGTATGACTGGCTGTCGACGGCTAATAAGCCAGAAATGGCCATTCCAGTCTCCCTTGCCTTCGTCGGTAACAACATTCTGCCTATATCATGCGCCGCTGTGCGGCTGCTGTCTGAGCTCGAGAGAGAGAGAGAGTCCATAAGGCACAACGGAACGAGTGAGTTCCGTAAGAACGATCGGTGAGCGCCCCCTACCATTGATCGAATTGCATCTGTAGCCGGAATAATCTTGGGATTTCTTGATTTACTGCCTTTTTCTGGACCTTTCGAGTTTTCGAAAGCACAGTTGACATCCAAACGAGCATGATGATGCGGCGACAACATTGTACAGGAAGCTCCGTACGCTGAAATCAATCGAGAATGTCGAAAAAGGGACGTGTATTTCGAAATGTGATAGGATATTTTGGTTAATTCACGACTTCTGTGAGTGTTATGCCTCACTGCTACCATACCACAGTGACAGTATATTGAGTTATGCTTACGAAGCTGACTGGTGCAGAAGTGAAAAGGGCTAATTCTAGACGTTGCCAGCGGAAGATAAGGAAACGACGCACGTAGTTGATTAGAAATTCCGATATATTTGAGAACACATGTTACCATTATTATGTCAAAAGAACGGGCTAGCAAAAACTCAGACACCGATAAACTACCGGTCTGTGATTGTGGATACCGAATAGACATTACGTTTTTAAGTCCAAAAATGCAGATTGTGAGAGAGAGAGAGTAACCATTGTTTAGCTGTCTGTTGACAATAGAAGCGACGGGGCGAGTCCCAGGAGACAGTTGTGAAGGAGACACGATCGCTGGAACAAGAGTTTTATTCGCCCGACGTTTCTGCTTTCTGCTCGAACCCATCATCAGAGACAGACGCAGATACGGGTAGTTCATGCACAAGGAGCTGCAGTCGCCATGATATCACATACCTACAAAAATTCCCGGCTTCCTCCTTCATAAGGTATTTTTACGGTGATGGCTGTTCGATTGCAGACATTCACGTCTTTCATTGTCGCGGTTTAATCATGCATGTTGGATGTTTGTGTGATGGCTGGTCGACCATCTGACCCACCGACCCTGGCGTTGGGAACAGTGTTCGCCTGTGTGCAACCCTAACTCAAAGTGGAGTGAGAAATTCTCACCGTGCACCCCTCGCTTGGCTCACTACTCTGTCTAGGCGAAGTATCATCACCGAATATGGAAGAGGAAGGGCATAGCACATGTTAACACACTGGGAGCCAGCGAGCAATGACTCAAGCAGCTCGCAGCTCACGCGGTTGTCACCTCTAGCGAGACTTTGGCCTCGTCAGACTTGGCCGGATCTCGTCGAATAAGCAGCAACTGCGCATCGCTACCGCGTGTTCGGCCATTCTCGTTCGGAGCTGTCTTCCGGTATCTCAAACGTGGTTGCTTTGTCCGCAACTGCACCAGATCCACTAAACGACTCCTGACGTTTCTTATCGTGACAGTGTGTCTTCCGGTTTCATCATCTGACGCCTGATGATTATCTCCGGTCTGTGTACAACTCCAATCCCAAGTGGTGTGAGAAGGCGGCCAACATCTTCCGAAACGTTCTTGACGTGCGTATGTGCTTTACAAAATTTGGAATTCGTGCGACTTGGCCTTTCGTCTAGTTTGGGTATGCACCGGTTGACGAAGTCGCGGTTAGACATTTGGCTATGAACACCCGTCGAATGCAGGGTAGTTCGGCGATCTTGTCTTCCCGCTCACTGTAAGGCGTTTCTAATCACCGATAGAGCTCACTTATGGCGACTTAACCCCATAGATACCGTAGCTCCTTATTTATGAATTACCCATAACTGCTGTTGCCTCTGATGATGGGCTTCAGCAGGCGAATAAAACTCTTGTTTCAGCAATCGTGCTCTCTTCTTCACCTCAGAGGTGAGTTAACACAATAAGATTTAAAGACAATCGGCTAAACTCTAAAACATTGCCCATCAACTTATTCGTTTTTTTAGTGTTGCCAAATAATCCTTCGTGCATTTCCATCTTAAGTATTATCATTTCCGCGGAACATAATCCGATTATATTTTATTGCACTTTACTTAATGCGCGACACCAAATTGTCAGGATAGACGATTTGTTTGGGGATTTTAGAATGATGTGAAGAACAGCGGCCTCGCATTCAGCTAACCCGACAGCATTGAGATTCCACACATTAAATTATATCTGGTATTCCACAGAGGTGTACGCACCCTGCTTGCATTTTAATCGCGTTTTCTATGGGGCCACCTGGTTATTTAGCAATATGCATATGCCAGGTGGAAGCGGTATTAGTATGTTCCGAATCCTACGGCTGCTTCGGTTTTCCACGCAAATTTTGCGTCAGCCATTGGGAGGAGGTGAGCGTCTATGTCTGTTATAGGAAAAGGGATTACTGCTGCGTGCCAGAAGATCGTTGCCGGCTATCTCGAAACGGCTGCGAGTTTCCAGTAACATAAAACTCTCATCAGTAGGTTTAGGTCCACTTCTAGCGACTTTAACAAAACTCTTACTTATAAAAGTGCCATATTGTATCACACGGAGGCATGGAAAAAGGGAATGGATAATGTACTGCAGTCACACGGATAAGGATATGGAATATCGATTGAACGACAATATCGATCTGGCGTGCACACGGTCAGCGTAAAAGTGCCCTCCACGTGGCCGTGTACATAACCCACTTAAACAAGGCCAATATTCAGCTTAGAGAAGAATGAATTTCTTTCGATTCTAATCGTCCGGAAATTTATTATATAGAGCACACAGCATATATTTAACTATAAGGAAATAAAATTTGCTTGTTATAAGGCACTGTCACTTCATTACTAGGAACAATATTTCCTTGACCTAGTCCCGGGTAGAGACGGACATGTTTTGCAAGGGTAGTTTTTCTGCATCAAGGAAGCTTGGCCTTCAGTTTTAGGACCTGAATCGATGACCTCGGGTCTGAAGAGTATTTGGTCACTAGGAGCTACTCTCGCAGCTTATGCGCTAAGGCACTCAGGATACATAGCAGCAATAATTTGTGACCGTATCTTGCAAATATCATCCAAGCTGCCCTGGTCGGCCCAAAGAGAAAACGGTTTTTAGACGTTCAATCTTATACTGAAACTAATTCTTCTCTGTCAGCCATCTGACCTTTTTGCATGACTTAGAGAGAGCGAGCGCCCTGAATTTACCATGTGTTCGTCGCGAACTTGATATTGTCAGAGCAAGACCAGTATTATAATAATATTGAGAATCACAATATGACCGGTTAACATGAGTATTTATAGGTAGCTCTTTTGGGGGCTGGTTTATAATGGCGAAGTCTAGCATGATGGGTTTTAGGTTTTCGAACTTATACAAATAAATCTGCTTCAGCGGATGTAATATATGCCTAACCGAGGCGTAAATATCGCCTGCAATGAAAGGCGCACGATAGCAGGATCCATTTAATGATTAGTGAGTCTCTGCGAACATGCCTTACGAAGGCTTTATCCACAGATAAAGTTGGGGGCATGCTTCACAAAAACACGTGAATATTCAGAAGAGCATTTGGCGAGCTTACGCGTGCTTTCGATAAATTCTCATCGGACGAGGTACAAACTGAACGTGTGAGTGATAAGTGCAATCGATTATGGTTCGTCCTTTCATACAAACGGGGTATGTGGATAGAGTGGGGGAGGGGGAGGGGAGAGGAGAGGAGACAGTCATTGACAGCGAGGGTAAGGTGGAGCCGTGTCACAAGGGGAGGGGGTGAAGGGGGCCGTAGAGGCCTCCCTACGGTTAACCGATCATGACCCACGGTAGACGCAGAGCGTTCAAGAGGTTCTTCTGCGCGTATGGAACCGGCCTCGTTCCCATATAAATAAATGTACAGGCCCGATGTGAATTAATCGAAGGCACACGTGAATATGTTAAGCAGTAGTTTCCACTCTTCACGAATAGGGATGACGGTCTGCCTTTGAAACGTAACTCACAAGGACTAAAATTGCCTGCATTGATAAACTTCTTTGCTCACTTCGGTCCACTTTCTCCAAGTATGTGGCTTGACCTTCGAGTGGCATTCACCGGTATACTTGACGGACAAACTAATTTCTATCTGCTAGTAAAACGGTGCCAGAACTTCCTTGGAGTTTCTTTCTACTACTTTTACCTGCATGTCCGCCATTGTCGGCCTCGTTTACGCGCAGAAACCAGTTGGTCTATGCATGCAGGCAGGCAAAAGTTGCCGTTCTACGATTAATTGGACTCATTAAATTCTGGAAATTTATTCCTATTCCTTAAACAGGCAAGGGTATGGTTTAAGGTCGGGATTACTTACTCCGGGAAACAAATGTGCTAAAAGAAAATAACTTGCGATATTTATTCGTATGTTTCAGAGAAAGAAATAAAAACGCCTCGCGGCGGCCTTTGCTTGAGGGTGGTTAAGATGCCTTAAGGTAGTCATCGAAGTAAAAATACGACAATGCAATACCTTTTTGGAAGTGCCTGCAAAGGGGCATTAAATTCGTTTGCTATCATCATCATCATCTTCATCGTCCTCCTCCTCCTCCTCCTCCTCCTCCTCCTCCTCATCATCATCATCATCATCATCATCTTTGAAGCATTTTTTCCCGGGTATGAATTGAAAGGAAGCATGTACAGCAGAATTTATTGGGGCCAATAAATTTCGTGACGGCTTTTCAACTGCAGCCCGTCTCTGCATAACATAGGTAACGAATGAAAGCGCACAGCAGTATGAATTTGTACAGAATGGCAGTGCATAAGAGCAAGGTCAAAATTCAAAACAATCAATAATCAGATAGGACGTCCACATAAGCATCAAAAAGGAAAAAGGGGAGACGAAATTAACCGGGCAAAGGATGCCTTGCCAATGCACGCCACCCCCAATTGTGTGTATGAATTCACATGCACTTGCGGATGCAAGTACATTGGGCGAACGCAAAGGCAATTGGCGACCAGGGCCGCTGAACATTTGCCTGTTAGATAGCGGTCATGTTGTCGACCCTAAAGCATCCTTTCGAGTACTTGTCCGAGCACGTACAACTCGAACCTTGCGTTATTTGGAAGCAGCCTACATACGGAGAGAGAAACCAGACCTGTGCAAGCAGTTAGATCACGTGATCAATCTGCAATTGCCCTGGTAATCTCACGCCTCTATTTTCCCCTGATTGTGATTTGTTGATAACATTTCGTATCCCCTTTTTCCTGTTTGATGCTTATGTGGGCGTCTTATCTGATTATTGATTGTTTCGAACTTTGACCTTGCTCTTATGCACTACCATTCTGTACAAATTCATACTGCTGTGCGCTTTCATTCGTTACCTATGTTATGCATCAGTAAGGTAGCATTGATCGGACATGCTTGTAGGTGACCTTGAGCCAAATTCCAGGAGGGCTGGGTTAGGGTTGGAGTCAATGTTCAAGTAATGGGGGGGGGGAGTTAAAATTTAAGGTCCAGACCAGGACTGAAGATAGAATCAGGTGTAAAGTGACGACACGGGAGAAGGGGCCCCGCCTCGCGGGGGCACTTTCTCCTGCGTCTGCCCAAAACGTTTCAAAAACAAAAGGGCAGGCGCTTTAAGGACCACCGTGGCTGGGTGACACAAGAAGTTATATAGATTCGTCAAAAAAGTGGAAAACAGAGGGGTGTCAAAACTATGCCGAGCTCCTATTAGTGTTTAATGAAGACAGCATCCATTCACTAGGTGCAAAACGCATGAAACGTGATGAGCAAAACAAGTGGATTTAAACACTGTTTGTTTTGGATCATAGGAAAACTCGGGGTACTTAGGGAATTTTCCCAAGCCGACCCATCTTTGGGGTCCTTTGCGCGAAGAAGAAGAAGAAGAATAACGCGATCTTTTATTAGTAACCGGCTGCACCCGGCCACGCGTTGCTGTGGCTCAAGTTGCGACAGAGGCCGCCGGCCGAGGCGGGGGGGGGGAGGGGTGGTGTTGACTGCATGCAGTCACGCCCGAGAATCTCGGAGGCGACGGGGACAGCAAGTTCAAGTGGCGTCCAAGAGTTGCATGGGGGTTTGCCTATCGGCCCATATTGCATCGGCCCAGGGGGGTAGGGCAAGTGTCTACAGGAGGGGGGGGGCATGGGGTGGGGGCGGCCGAGCGGATGTCGGTCAAGTGGCCGCAGGCCAGCGCGTCTGGAACTTCCCTCCCCCCCTCACCTTCTTTTGCGCCCAGCAGAGGGAGTTGTTATGCGAGAAAAAAAGCATGTTTTTTGCTCGTCACCACGCTTGTTTGCTTAGGGAAGTTAAAGGATCTGCGTGCGCCTACTCGAGCGGCTGTATGGGCCCGACAACAGGAACAGCCTGTTGATGGAGGCGTAGGGGGTGGTGTCCAGGTAGCAGTTGGAAAGCAGAACACGCGATCTCTGGAATGAGAGATTTATCTACCCATCGTTTCGGATACGCACTTGAACCTATAATTATGACCCTTATCTGATTGTTGTTTAGATAATGCATTGGAGTAGGGTATCCGTAACGTAAAACAGGTAAAATTCCGGTTTCACCGATCGCTTGGCCTTCTTTCTAACAGAAAAATTTCGGTTCGGCGAAGTGAACATCACGCATTAATGGATTATCCGCGCTGCGTTTTTGCGCGCGCATATCTGCGTTGGCAGTCCCTAATGGTAGTCAAGACTGAGATCAGGCGGAAGAGAGCAGAATTGGAGTCGAACAACCCTCTCTCTCTCTCGCAATCCATCCGCGCATTTCTCAACAGCCCACCCACCATATTTTGGCCGAACCTGGTCTGGTATGCTGAGTTCTGCCCTAAAAATGAAACGTTAAAAAGAAAACGAAATGAAACTTCCATTTATGGGCAACGAAAGGTAGTTGAAAAGAGAGGGACGGAATAGATGGAGCGCGAATTGAGTTGATCCGACGCTTCAAATTTACACTCTAGGACAGCATCGGGTACAGCAGCAGAGGAATATGCCGAAGAGCTGGAGACAGCATTTATAGCATGCGGTTATTAGGCAAAGGCACCTGGAGCAACTTGAATTTGGAGTTGTACACAGACTGATGAGGCAACGACTGTTGAGAACAGAAGACAAGCTCTAATGACAAGATGGGCCAGTATCCATTTAATGATCCGTGGCAGTTGCTAGCATATCGAGTGCGATAGGGAAGCAGAAAGGTTAGCGTAGACGCGGATGGCTGAACACGCATCACTGGCAGGAAGGGATGACATTATTTCGCGACGCTTGCAGTTCGCGCGAAGAGACTCGGCAACACCTTTAAGTCGGACGAAGCCGAAATGCTTAGTCGTTATGCACACTACAACCGTTGTGAATTGCTTGGGTTATGGTACCCCGCTCTTCAGTTAATCAAAAAGCTCAGAGATCCCTGTCGTTCTTATTCTGAGTTAAGACTTTGCTCTGGCATGGTAATAAGCTAAAGTAGGTGTGCTAATTCATGACCCATTAGCTGAAATTCTGAAAAGCGTTTTTGAATCGAAAAGATTACTTAAGTGGGATTGTAGTATTAACAACCATGCAGCATAACCCCATAGTAATTAGGTTACTCCAGGATGTCAGCTTTTGAAAGAACTTCTATTTGGCCGCCTGAAAAAAATACACTCGGCAAAAAGGGCTACTTGAGTAGCATGACATTTTCTAATTGATTTTCGATGATCTTATGAATTCAATCATATTTCATGGAAAAAGGCCCAAAACGTTCATTGTGTTGCTCACTGGGCAAAAAATTACGTTTTCTTAGAATTCTATACTTAAAGGATGGGTATGATTCAGTCTTTAAAAGATTTCAATTATGAGGTCTTTTTAAACCGTGAAGTACGAGTCCATAAAACGTCGTGTGTCTGCATTTCGTAATGTCGATTGTAAAGTTTACAATATGGTTCAAATCTATTGATAGATTTTATAACCCGCTATACGAGCTCCTTTTAAGTACGTAGAGAAATGTGTGATTTTCCCTACTCGGAGAATATAAGGCTTGTAGACTGGAAACCCGGAATGCAGGTGTAACAGCATTTCGGGTGTAAAATTATTCGGGAATTAGAAAAGTTTTTTTAAAACCAAATAATGCCCCTCTTTCAAGTACAACATTGTAATAAAACATGCTTCTCCGCCCGATGAACAGAAGAATGAATATTCTTGTGCATTTTTTCCATGAAATATAGTTGACTTCATAAGGGCATCGAAAATCAACTATACAATGTCCTGCCATTTTGTAGTCCTTTTTGCCTAGCTTAGTTTTTTTCAGACGGGCAAATAGAAGTTCATGCAAAAGCCTGCATCCTGGAGTGACCGAATTGTTATTGGATTATGCTGCATTGTGGTTAATATTACAATCCTGCTTAAGTAATCTTTCCGATTCGAAAACGCATTTCAGAATTTCGGTTAGACTTTCATGAGTTAGCACACCTACTGTATGTTTTGAGCGTATAAGTGAACACTGTTTCCAATGCTGTTATTAATGACCATACATCGTGGGACATGTAGAGGAAATGTGGACTTAGAAACTACAAACAGTAATATATGCAGGAAAAACTAACTCCGAATGGGGGAATTGTGTTTACCAACAAAAAAGAATGTACAGATTGAAAGAACCAGAAAAGGAATGTTCTAGACTCACGTAAAGTAGAATCCTATCAAGTAGAGAGATAGTGTCCCGATGAGGAACTGGTTGAAGGGAGGCTCTAGGTTCCGCGATGATACGTTGAAGTCGGCTTTGAGGAGGAAGTCTCCGTCAGCACGGACGAATTGTTAAGAATATTGAGAGGTGACAAGCGCACGCCAAGAAATAACGACGTCAAACACACTCGAAACCAGAACACATGTTGACCGCCGTAGCGTAGTTAATGTGTGTTTTCGTTTAGTCAAACAAATGTACAGGCAGGTCAGGTGTACAAGAAAATGTAGTGAAACAAATCAAAAGTGTACAAAAGCCTACAGACATTGTCGCGCCAATCATAATAATCGTGATGCCAACCATTAATAGATTATCGCACAAAGGGTGGCGTTAAAGATTAGTGAGGCAACTGCTGAGTATATTACAACGTATGGGGTTGCGTTGCAGCTGCATTCCATCAATAAAGCGTCCTACACATACGCCCTCTCCATTTTGCTCCCGTTTCTGTTGATGGGTCCCAGTGTGAATCGCAGACTTCAGGCGAATAATATTCGTGTTCCAGCGATCAGAGTTCCTTCATCTCACCTGCTTCTCAAGACTCACTTTTTCGGTTGCTGCTGCGGGAAACTTTCTCGTAGTTTCCTCTGATCCCTTTAAAATAATAGTGAAAAAATTCTTTTTTTCCTGCTACATGAGTATTAGAATCCTTTTTTATCTCGTGAACTAAAAAGAGCAGTTTATTCACTAGCCTGGATTTGAGTTGACTCCAGATTTTTGTTTCTGAAAGAGATCTTCTTGTAATATTGTAGTTAGCTTTGTATTGATCGGTGAAGGAAGATTAGACGATCTTATGTAGAATGAACTCCCTATCAGAATATACGGTAATAATAACAAATTAAAATTTCCGCTTTGCGTAACCGTTATGTTTAGACGGCCACCGTTTGCTAAAATTGCAAATGATGCATTCGGCTCCGAAGGTGTGCGAAAGTCGGAAGGTGCTCCTATTAATAACTTACATCGAGCCGTTTGTTTCTGCAAGCAGTCATTAACGCCGAAGCAACTTACAGTAGTTCTGTTTTAATCAAAGAAAATTC